AGACCCACCTACCCATTGGATAGGAGACTGGGTGGACCCCACAGCCGGTTTGGAAGGTTTGGAGAATAGAAAATTCTTGACTCTCCCGGGCCTCGAACGCCGACACCTCAGTCGTCCAATCAGTAGCCAGTCGCTATGCCGACTACGCTACACCGGCTCCTCCAGTCAAGGTAAAAAGATTCTTATCTTCCCCACAGAGTCCAATTCTGGGGCCACCCAGCCTTCTGTCTACTGTATACTGGGAAATCTACCCCCGGGAGTAAAGCGATATGGGTGTGGATCCGACCATTGAACTCCATCTAGTGCCAAGGTTAAAAATATGTTGAGCTGTACCTACACTTCTCAATGTACCTTCATGGTATTGTGATTAATTTTGTAATTCAGTAAAGGGATAACTGTATATTACCATTACTATTATGCCTTTAAAGTATAATACTGAATTAAACATAGGGGCAAATTTTATGTATACTAGTACAGCCGTAAATTATATTTAATCTGTGCAAATTTCTGATGACAATTAGACAGTTTTTGGAGTAGAGAAATGATCTGACAGCAGAAATCCCTGATCACGAGTAGGGAGACGTCGAACCTGTATCTTCTGAGTGCGAGATGGACAAACCAGACACTAATCCACCGCCTATGGGAACATAAACACTACGTCCTATACATTTATACAATGACCTGTACTGTTCTGGAAAGCACAGCTGAATATAACAATGGCACACGATTAAGCTGTACGTCACAGACATAATAAAATCGCCATTCTGTAACATTTCAAGGTTGTTCTGTAACAAAGCGGAATAAATATTCTAGTCTGATCGTTCGGGTGGGCCTTACAGAGGAAAGTGCTGACATGGTGACCTGGGTCAGAGGTTATCACGCCCACAGGTAAGGAACGTCTCCATCCATTTCTCGGGGGGTGTCGGCCAATGCCAGATTCACCTGGGACCCCGTCCTCAGAATGTTACAGTATAATACCTCCAGTTATGACAAGTCATCTCTGAAATGACTGCATTACCAACCTAACGTCGTTCTATAGTAGTCAGAATTCATAATCTGTATTCGGATAGGACCGGCTTCGTATCTCGATCATGACTTTGGTTATCCTGATTGAAGCATCTCTTGTTTCCTTCAGTGGCTGAAACCAAGAGCCGTAAACAAACCAAAGTTGTTCTTAAGCTGTTTATCATGGCATACAGGTGAAGTGGAATCCAGCTCCACCCATTAATAATACCAGATCTATGCAGGAATTGAAGAGATATTAAAAGCGTTCTGTCTTGTGAGATATAAATCTGTGTAGTTTCTTAGAAGTCAAACAATGTGTCGGGGATCATATCGCCTCCATCTTCAGGGCTCAAGATTAAAACAGGAAGCATTTCTGCCTGTTTCATGGTAGTTTCTTGTTTGGATTGCTATCCGACATTGAAGGTGGAGGCATCATATTCCTCCGAAACATCGGTTGAATTTCCTCAGACCATCTGGCCTTAAATTCCAATAGACATAAATTTTCATTATCAGACCCAGATGGAGGTAGGTCAGTTGGCCGCGCCATAGCTCAAGCGGTTAGTCGCTGGCTTCCCACCGCGGCGACCCGGGTTCGATGCCGGGGTCTGTTCAAGTGGGATTTGTGGTGGACAAAGTAGCGCTGGGGCAGGTTTTCGCCGAGTACTTCCGTTTCCCCTGCCAATTGTCATTCCACCAATTGTTCCGCAATCACCCTCACCTATCATCTGGCGCTCGTACAATAGGCCAGAAGTGGCCGCAGTACAAGGGGCTTAGTCCCACCCCACTAGCAATAAAAAAAGAAGCCAGTTTCGCAATCCATCTTCAGAACGTTGTTGGTGGAGTGATCAGAACTTTTTATTCGTGAGGTCTCAGGTTCAAACTCGTTCTGGAGGCTGACTGTTCTGAGTGAGGTTTTACTCATACCCTCCATACAAATGCAGTAGCAGTGCCTTAAACTAGGGCGCAAATATTTTCTTCATTAAAATTATTCCATATAACTGAGTTTTGTCGATAAGCTAAGAGTTGCTCAGCCACTCAAGAAATTCCCAGCATCCTATGGAACCCGAAGTTTCACTACCGTTCCCACACGAGCCCGCCTCTGGTCTCTATCCTGGACCAGATGAATCCGATTTCCCCAACCTATCTCTTCCTCTGCCTAAGTTCCAGACGATACCTCCAAGTCCGAGGACCTATCGTAACAAACTGTTCTAATGGTGTTGGTAGGCCCAGAATCAGCCCATTAGCTGCAAGACTACACCGTGTTCGTAGTTACCTTCCATAACTGCAGACTGTTTCTCCATCTGCAACCTGGGCATGCGCCGTGTCGCGGTGACAAGGAAGCCACTTAGCATGGGCTTCCTTCCATGTCCTTTCTGCCTCAGTTGTCACCTACTGCCATATCTTTCGGTGCTACACAGTTTAGGACATACAGGCAAATGTAAAGTTGTTCCTACGCTTAATTATTTAAACGCAAAACCACTAGACTTATGGGGGGGGGACGAGATATTGTAGCTTCATCAATTCTTGACCTCGGCATTAGATCGAGTTGAGTAGTCATATGTTCTCATAGCGTTACTAAGTAACAGCTGTGTTATAACAAAGTGTATGTCAACCTGAAAATTGAGACAGAATGTACTTCCGAAACATCATTAAACATCTAACAGTGTACACTGCCTCACATGTCACAAGACAGGAAACTTCACAGTCTCTACCATGATAACCTGAAATCTTGAGTCCTTAGACGAAATCAATACAGGACAAATAGGGCAACTGTTACGTGCGTTATCCTTGAAAGATGGACATCGACAAGAATCAGAAAATGGCAGTCAATAAACTGACTCCATAGAGCTGAGCCCTTCTTCAGAAGCTACCTGTTGCTCAGCTACTCAAGGATTTAACATTTTCTGGAACCCGAAAGTTCATTACCGTATTCACAAATGTCCTTCACATGTCCCTATCCTGAGCCAGATCAATCCAATGCATAACACTCCATCCTATTTCTCTTAGATGAATTTTAGTATTATCCACCCACGTACATCTTGGTCTTTCTAGTGGTCTCTTTCCTTCTGGCTCTCTCATCAAGTATCTATATGTATTCTGCTTCTTCTTCAGTCATGCTACACTCCTTCCCTTCTGATCCTACTTGAATTGATCATTTTAATTATACTTGGAGAAGAGTACAAGGCATGAAGCTACAATCATATTTCTCTCTCTCTCGCGATTCTAGTAGAGAGAGAGAAATATGATGGAGAGATGGAATGGAGCGGTATGGGCTGGATTGATCTGGCTCAGGATCGGAGCCAGTGGGAGGCTCATGTGAACACGGTAAAGAACATTCAGGTTCTATAAAGTGTTAGGAATTTCTTGATTAGCTGCACAACTGGCGGCTTTTCACGAAGGACTCAGCAGTATGTAGTTAGTTATGTGATCTGGTTTTAGAGTCTGAACGTCTCAATCGGTATAGAGACGCAGTATGAGGTGAACGTCTGGGATTCGATTCTAGGCAGGAATAAAAGATTTTTCTTTTCTCCAGAGTGCCCAGACCGGCTTTGGGATTCACTCAGCCTCCTATCCGATGGATACAGTGTGGTGTTTCCCTTAGGGTAAAGCGACCGAGGCTTGAAGATGACCACTTGACCTCCATCTAGTGCTCTAACTCCACCCGCACCCCCCCACATATCTTCATGGCGTTGTGCTTAATTAGTGAAACGCAGTTATAATTGTACATTTACCTAATGTGGTCTGTTAATAGAATTACGTGTATTATATAGTGATCCTTTGCATTTTAATATGAACACCGTGTGTAGCATGGAGATATCCACGTAACCTTATTTGAATATTTCCCTCGTTTTCCTTTGTAATATTTCCCTTTACAGCGTAATTACACCTCGAAATATTTGGTGTAAGCCGGGAGGTCGCGGGATCGATTCCCGTTAAGGTCATTGGATTTTTCGAATTATCTAATCATTACAGCCGCACTATGGTCCTGAGGTCGAATCCTCGTCTAAGAGAGATGAGTACTAGAAATCTTCCTGGAGTTAAAGTGCGGCCGGTGCGTAAGGCTCACAACCTTACCGCCATCTGTGAGTCGATTGTCTAGAAAATGTGGGAGCCTCGACGTCTCACAACCCTATGGGCCTCCACAGCCTCTTACAGGGATACCTTTACCTTATCTTTACAGTTTTGTGAACGGTTAACCTTCCAGTTTCATATTTTGTTGGCGTTAGCTTCAAGTGTCAGCCTGGAGACCACATATTCTGACTGAGTTTACTGTGGTTTTCTGTATGTACTCAGGATTACGCCTACATTTGACCACGACCGTGTCCTTTCAAATCGTTTCTAATTTATTATTTTCCCGCTGTTCCATCTTCGGACTCTGTACAATCTCGATATTGAAAAGCACCTTCGATTAACCTACAAAAAAAGACAATTAAATTGTTTTAGTTTATTCCGCCCTTTTAAATTCCTACGTCATTGTTTGTACACTATTCTATATTGATGTACGCGTGAGATTTTAACACCTTACAATGAAACAAGGGACAATATATGTAATGGCTCACACTCCCTTGGGATACAATTTTATTACATGTTTGCGAGACGAAATGGTGCTTTAGAAGTCTCGGGAGAGTGGTTGAAGCTACCTGTATACATACACAGCAGAGAGGACCAGTATAAACAAAGGTTTCTACATGAGTACTTAAGGGCTCCCAAGGTGTTATTAAAGCAGCTACAGTAGGCACGAAGCCTCTCCCGTCTGCGTAAGGCGGTTTTGATCCCCAACCCCCTCCTGGCTACTGTGTATGTTTAATTAGGGCTGTTGTAAACACGGTCAAAGTTCAGACTTTAGACAAGCAGCCAGCACTTTGAGAAGCTGTTAACGTTGAACTCCAAAGTGTACGGATTCACACTAAGGAATGCCAGTGTTTGGACTCTTCGCAGTGACTCGCAAAACAGTCTTCATTATAATAGCGCTGGAAATTTTGTTCCATTTTCAGATCACAACTTGATCTCATCCTTGGGATAATTGTAGAGTTGAAGATCTTCACAGCTAGTTGCTAACTGAGGTGAGTAGCAGTGTTACTTATAATTTTCATATTCATGCTTTTAGTTTTGCCAAACGCTGTAATGTGTGTAACGCAATACAGAGAGCCTCAGTTTTCAGCACAGTAGAGTTGTTATGTCGTAATCAAGGAAGCACGCGGTACCGTAGTTTTTTTTAATTCCCTTAGTGGGGGGTGGAGTCCAAATGGGTCCACTCGGTACGGAGGCCACTGATTGGCCTATTGTTGCCTGCCCCGGGTGATTATGATGATGGAGAATTTGGTGGAATGAAAATTGGCAGGGGAAACCGAAATACTAGGAGAAAACCCGCCCCAGCGCCACTTTGTCCACCACAAATCCCACTTGACCAGACCCGGGATCGAACCAGAGCTGCCGCGGTGGGAAGTCCTGTAGGCTACTATGCGCGTCTCTATGAAGTAATCTTGATCTTCGAAGATTGCTTTTGCCTCCGTTAGCAGGACCTGTGTAATAATGTACTTTAAGAAACAAGGAAACAAGCAACAAGAAACAAAACTATGAAGAAAATATTATAAAATGACGCCTGATAGTCGAAACGGTGGAGACAGACAAGGGCCGCGAAGACCTCCATTGATAAGCAATGGCTCGGCAAACAAGTTTCGTCCGCAACCAATATGCACACAACAGCGGAGGAATTATTGGAGGCTGTGTTTCTCGTACGGCCCGACCCGAAATTGTGTTAAGAGAACAGGACTGTGGTGGAGAAGGGCACCGTTGAGCACAGAAGTACTAAAGAGAATCCCCACTGTTAGAAGCCCATGCCAAGCAAGAGTTAATGAAAAAAAAATATCGATCATTTTCATCTTCGGTTATTTCCGAATTGTGTATAATAGTAAAAGTTATAACTACATGTATTTGTAGTTATGATTTACAATATACAATTTACAATTTACAATTTTCAATATATTCAGCAGTCAGCCAAAACTCTCTGTCAAGTCATTAAAACGTGACAACTGGTGTCACAATTCGAACCCATGATTACAAAAATTTTTAAATTTTAGCAGAGCAGAAAGGTAGGGCACCACTTCCTCACAATAGGGTATACATTTCAGTTGGCAGCAAGTTCATTCCTGGCAGGAATGATGATCCTAAAATTCAGAAATTACCACTCTTAGAACACAAACAGGATGTGCATGTATATCCGTGAAAGTAAGGCACAGTTCTGTTGAAGCAGCAAATGATCCTTTGAAACTCCCTTCCACCTGACAGACGGGGATCATCCCCAGATATCTAATAAACACCGTCAGGCAGTGCATGAGGGGGCAGAGGAGTGAAAGCGTTGTTTTCCCGACCTGGGCTTGTCCGCAAGGAGATGTTACCCTAGAAGATTCAGAGAGGAAACAAAACCTCGTAATGTTGAAGGAAAGTTGCTCAGGTCTGGTCCAGGTGTTGAAAAGACGCCTGTCAAGACAGACTTACGGATAATGTACAACAGAAAGATGGCACTGATGAAAAACTGAAGAAGGCTGAGGAAGCGATAAAAATGCTTTCTACACCTAAATTATTTATTAAACTAGACATTAATTACAAACTTGGAAACATATATACTTTTATAAAGCCTCTTAAATTCATGTCTGACTCATTTGGTGTGCAGCATTCAGCGTCATCCTAGAGTAAACATGATAGTATTATATTTGGACTGACTACCGTCTTACCTGGGGATTGCTCGAGGCTGACAGCTCTGAGTAAGAAGCAGCTGGGAAAACAGAGACCTCTACAAAGAGTGAAGGCTGGACGCCATCGAAAACGGCAGAAGCGACGGGTCACCATGGCGTTGCGCTGCCGTCCATGAGGGCGAGAATAGACGCTGTAGGCAGGAACAGAAAAAATGACAGCCCTTATAGGCTACACGGGACGGTCATCTTTAAGGTTGAAACAATGTGTCTTCATGGCATAGTGCTTAACTAGTTAAGCCCAGGGAAATATTTGCTTTTACCTTTACAATGTGACATGACTCATGAAAGCCGGAATAGTGGAGCCAGATAAACGCCGAAGTTTCCATTACGATGCAACGGCCCAGTAAACGCATTTCCTCTGCAACCAGTACTTATATGCACACAGCGATATAGGAACTGTTGGGGGCTGTGGAAAGTAAGCTAAAGAATGTTACAATTTTCCTTTCCCACATTTTCAAAAAAGTGTCATTGCGAACATAAGGCTCGTGGTTTCTCCCTTGCATGACGAACCCTTTTAACTGGGGAATCACTGAACCCCGGTAGTTTTATGGAACATCGTATTATTTGATGTCGTAGGCGCCGGTGAGTCCGGAATCAAAGGCACCCAAGGGGTTGTAGGGATTTCTATTTACTGAAAGGCAATTGTCTGATGAATTTCTAAAACGAACTTTTTGAATTATAAATATATACAGAATGTTCCAGGAGTTTGGTGCCATACTTCAGGAGCGTACTGAGGGTTCCCTATAGAACAACTTTGAAATAGAAACCCATGTCCGCAAACGTAAAATAGCAGCGCTAGTGCGGCATTTAAAATCATTTCGTTTAAACTTGGCGCCTCAATGTCAAACTGCATTGCATAGAGGAACAGCCATCCACCAGCACTCGTGCCATTGTCAAGATTGTGGGGACATCAAAATCAAGTGTTTGGATATCCTGCACGACAAAAATCTTTATCCGTATCATCCAGCGCGAGTACACGACGTAGGTCCAGCTGTCTTCGTGCCACGAGTTCAATTTTGTCAGTGGATACTGAACTAGTGTTTAAATCAGCCCAACTTCCTGAAACACGTGTTCTTCACAGACGAAGGGCAGTTTACAAGGGATGGCTAATTCAACTGTCGAAACAGCCACGTTTGGGCTGATGAAAACACCAACGTTTCTGTAGTTTGTTACCATCAGGCGCAATTTTCTGTCGATGTCTGGGCGGGCATCATTGGCGATCACTTGACTGGGCCTTTGTTCCTACCACCGCGACACAATGGGCCCTTTTACAAGGTGTTCCTGGAATGTATCCTTCCGAATTTGCTAGAAAACGTGCCACTGATTGTGCAGAGGCAAATGTGGATACAGCATGACGGAGCGACGGCGCACTTCAGCATTGCATCACGAGACTACCTGATGCTGCTTTTTCATGGTCGTTGGATAGGAAGAGGAGGCCCAGTGCTTTGGCCACCCCGAACCCCAGACTTGACACCTCTGGACTATTTCGTCTGGGGCCGTATGAAAAGCCTTATCTACGACACGAATGTGGATAATGAATTCGAGCTGCTGGCCAGAATACTTGTTTTATGTGATGTGATCCGTGAGACACCTGGAATATTTGAAAGGGTGCGCCAAAGTTTCTTGGGTCAATTGAAAATGGAGGGCGCCAATTCCAACATCTACTCTAGCAGGTGAATCTTAAGAGTTTGGAGGGGGTAATATGCCTGTGCATGCTCTTCGATATTGAAGCGCCAAGATTAAACGAAATGATATTAAATGCCGCCCTAGCCCTGCTATTTTACTTTTCCCGACACGGGTTCCTATTTCAAAGTTGTTCTATAGAGAGAACCCTCAGCACGCTCCTGAAGTACGGCACCAAACATCTTGGACACTCTGTATAATTACCGGGCAAATACGATGTGGCATAAATTAAGTGTGTTATTCTAAGAATATAGAAATCAGAGTGCCCATTTTTCGATAGAGCTTGCCTAATGCTTTCTTGTGTTAGAGGTTAAGTAACTACAATTGTTTCCAATTGCATTAAATTTTATTATACTCTTAAACGAGACACTACTAATGATGTAAAAATTTTGCTTTCTGTTTGACTTTTATGTTTTACAATTTTTCACTCTCTATACTTTATAATGTTCTAGGGGATACCACCCCCACTTCTCCTCAGGCTATATCGCATGTACTTTATACGACAAAGGAAAATTTGTCCTTGTGCTTAATTAATCATTGCGCCATGAAGACCCAGGAGGAGTAGAGTTATAGTTGCACATATCTTGACCTCGGCACTAAATGGAGGTGAGTAGTTAGCTTCACGACCCGGCCTCTTTACCCCCAGGGAAAGAGCCACCAGTACCCATTAGATAGGAGGCTGGGTTGGCCCCAGGGCACGTCTGAATGACGTGGAGAGGAGAAAAGTCTTACCGCCATTCAGACTCGATCTCCTACAATCTGGTCGTCTGGTCAGTAGCCACTCGCTATACCGACTGCTCTTGCTAAGTGACTATTGAACCTTCTTCGTTATTTATTTAATTAAACCAACGCAATTATTCGATCTTCCATAGTTCTATATTGTTTCGTCTTCTGCCTAAAAGCGCAGTTGGTTGAGGCACTATGCTAGAATCAGGAAGGTCGCGGGTTCGATTCCTAATGAGGTCATTGGACTTCTTAATTTAAACAATCCTTCCAGCCACACTATTGCCCTGGGGTCGACTCAGCCTCTAACAGAAATGAGTACCAGGAACCTTCCTGAGAGTAAAGGGCGGCCGGCGCGTGAAGGCGATACCTCACCGCTATCTGTGAACCGATTGTCTGGAAGATGTAGGAGTCTCGACATCTCACAATCCTATGGACCTCCACGGCCTGTTACATGGATAATTTACCTTTTTTCTTACTTTTGCTACCTTTTCGTTAGGGACACGTGGTATCGTAAGTGATTGAGGCGCTAATGCTACAAACCAGAAGGTCACGGGTTCGAGTTCCGATGAGTTAATTAGATTTTTTCAATTAACTAATCATTCCAGCCGCAATATGGCCCTGGGGTCGACTCAGCATCTAACAGTAATGAGTACCAGGAGTCTTCCTGGAGGTTAAAGGACGGCCTGTGCATAAGGAAGACAAATTTACCGCCAATTGTGAGCCGATTGTCTAGGAGATGTGGGAGCCTCGACCTCTCACACACCTATGGGCCTTCACGGCCTGTTACAGGGACAGCTTTACCTTTTTACGTTACGTCTTTTACGTTAATTGCATTAATTACATGCATACAACTTTAGAACCTATGTTAATACGCGTAGGTGCACAATTAAAGACACAAA